CTGCTCATACATTTTCAAAATCCCAGTCACTACTCACCAAAATAGGGTGTAGCAGAGACAATTGACTTTGGTGTCCCCCGAGATGAGAGTCTAGTGACTCATTCCCTTAGGATGTTTGATGATGTCTGAGAAGTCTTCATAACTTTGTGCCCCGTATGTTCCACCCCATTCATGGATATATTTGTAGCAAGATAAATACACATATACAAATATCCTCCGGCAAGACAAATTTATATGCACTTGTGTGTATATTCCCACTCTTCCTCTCAGGCTCATTCAGCATGCATGCCTAGTCATAGATCACCGCTGTTGCTGGTTTGGGTATATCACAGTATTCTTATTTTGGGCTCCTTACTTTTAGAGTAGAGTCTTCCCTCCCCACTAGTTACCTTGGAGTTTATTTAAACTAAGAGAAAAAGGTCCTATAGGGTTGCCAGAAGTTGGAATTGACTTGATGGCAATACGTTTTTTTTGTTGTTGTTCTGCTGCAGAGCTGCTGGGTGGATTCATATTGCCCACCTTTCAGTCTGCAGCTGAATATGCAAGGGCTGTGCTATCCAGGCTCCTTTCTTTTGGGATACGTTAACCTGCACGGCAGGTTGCCGTGTACTCTGGAGATCTGGTGCAGTCCAAGCCCCAAGACCAGGAAGGAAAGGTCTGCCTTGAAGGTGCTATTGGAGCAAATGAGCTGAGATGTAGGTCCCTGATTTGGCTAAAATGTACAGGGTCCCCTACCTGCTGTGACTCGTTGACAGCCTTCATGGTTGGCAGAATATGCCACGCTTAGCTGGTGTTAGTCTCTGGCTCTGAAAGAGCCCTGCTTCCTAATGTCCTAATGTCTACACTCAGCCAAGGGAGCCCCAACTCCCCAGCATCTTCTTAGCAGAAAGAACCCTCTAGTTTGGATAGTGGGTTTGGCTTAGCTCGGTTTTCCCAACCTCCCCAGCTGCACTACCCAGTTGGAATCCCAGGTGCACTAAGCTTCTGAAGCTCTCACCACAGCTGCTGAAGTTGCCTGCTGACTTCAGGCTGCTCTGAGTGTCTTTCCCAGCAGAGTGGAAGTGCTGCTGGCTGGATCGTGTGCCAGAGAACACTGATGGACGCACTCAAGAGATCAAATGTCCCATCTGGAATGCCTGGCCCTCACAGCTGGGCTAGAAGAGCCCAACGCCAGCACCACAGCTTCGTTCCACTTGTATTTACTGAGTGCTTGCTGTGAGTAAGGGACAGCAGTGTGGGTTTTTTCTTTGACTGCCATGTGGCCTTTGAGGCTGGTGTCCTCATTGCTTTGATCACCTGAGCGCCAATGACATCATGGCTGCTCATGTGGAGGAAGTGCTGCCATTGGTATTTAAAATAGCTACAGGGTCACCCATGGGGAACAGGGTTCAGAGGTGCTTCCAGACTAAGAACAGATGCAGATGAAAGGAAAACCCTAGAGATGGCACAGAGGCCAATATGCCAAAGCTCAGGAGGATGGCACAGGATTGGGCAACCATTTTGTTATAGTGTACGTAAGGTCATCATGAGTCAGAGACAACTTTAGGGCAACCAATAGCAAATAGTCAAAATTCCAGGCAGCTTTTCAAGTCTGGATTTGCAGAATGCCCTGCTTGCCTGAGAATACAAAGGGGCTTCAAAAAGACAGAGGAGCCCTGGTGTGTAGGGGATTATGTGTTGCACTGCGAACATCAAAGGCAGGAGTTCAAAACCATTAGCGGGAGAATGATGAGGCTTTCCACTTCTGTAAAGATTTACAGCCTCGGAAACCTACCAGAGCAGTTCCACCCTGTCCTTCAGGGCTGCTATGAGTTGGAAGCAAGTCCATGGCTAGGAGTTTGGTTTTTGTATAGACAAGAGTGAATGTTTAATGCGGTCCAGATGACGACTGGAAAACACTCCTAAAGGTCTACCTATTTATAGGCTTTTCTTTTTTGTCATTGTTTTTTGTTGTTGTTTTGGTTTTCTTTTGTTGCTTTGTTTTGCTTTGTCTTGGTTTTTGTGCATATTATTATCTCTGCATTTCGATCTAGATAAGATAGGTGGAATATACAATCTGGAGGAGAAAACAATGGACAAATGGTTCCAGAGGGACATGGAAGAGGGGGAGGCAGGGAAAGGAAGTGGGTGTTAACAAACCCAGGGACAAGGGAACAAGAAATGATCTAAAATCGATGGGAAGGAGGGTGTAGGAGGCCTGATAGAGCTTGATCAAGGGCAATGTAACTGAGGGATTACTGAAACCCAAATGAAGGCTGAACATGATAGTGGGACAAGAGGAAATTAAAATAAAATAGAGGAAAGAACTAGGAGGCAAAGGGCATTTATAGAGGTCTAAATAAAGGCATGTACATATGTAAATATATTTATGCATGATGATGGGGAAATAGATCTATGTACATATATTTATGGGTTTAATATTAAGGTAGCAGAGGGACATTGGGCCTCCACTCAAGTACTTCCTCAATGCAAGAACACTTTGTTCTATTAACCTGGCATTCCATGAGGCTTACCTTCCCTACATGATCTCTGAAGACAAAGTGGGTGCATAAGCAAATGTGGTGAAGAAAGCTGATGGTGCCCGGCTATCAAAAGATGTGGCATCTGGGGTCTTAAAGGCTTGAAGATAAACAAGTGGCCATCTAGCTGAGAAGCAGCAAAGCCCACATGGAAGAAGCATACCAGCCTGTGTGATCATAAGATCAGGTAATAGGCAAAGAACAAAAAATCATATCATTGTAAAAGAGGGGGAGTGTGGAGTGGAGACCCAAAACCCATCTCTAGACAACTGGACATCCCCTCAAAGAAGGGTTGTGGGGAGGAGATGAGGCGGTCAGTGTGCAGTATAGCATCGATGAAACATACAACTTTCCTCTAGTTCTTTAATGCTCCCCCCACCACCATGATCCCAATTATACCTTCCAAATCCGGCTAGATCGCTGGATGTACACGGATACAGATAAGAGCTGAAAACACAGGGAATACAGGACAGATAAACTCCTCAAGACCAATAATGAGAGTAGTGAAACCAGGAGGGTAAGGGAAAGGTGGGGGAGAAAGGGGGGAACCGATCACAATGATCTACAAATAACCCCCTCCCTGGGGGATGGACAACAGGAAAGTGGGTGAAGGGAGACATCGGTCAGTGTAAGACATGAAAAAGTAATAATGATTTATAAATTATCAAGGGTTTGGGAGGGACAGAGGGGGTAAAATGAGGAGCTAATACCAAAGGCTCAAATGGCAATGAATATACAAAGGTGCTTGACACAGTGGATGGGTGGATGGATTGTGATAAGAGTTGTATGAACCCCCAATAAAATGATCTAAAAAAAACCATGGTCGAGTTGAAAGCACTATAGACTGCAGTGTGGAGGCCCTGAGTTCTAGTCCTGGCTCTGCCATTGTGCTGCTAAGAGCCTGGCCTTGTCTGGGCCTCAAGTTCATTAGTGAAGTGGGCGGGGTGGAGTGGATGATATCTGTAAAGAGACTTACAGCTTTGGCATCCCTAGATTGAACTAGAGGCTGACGGGAGATTTTTTTTTTTTAATGCAAAACTGGTCTTGGGGACTGGTGTGTGGGTCAAGAGAGTAGGAAAGAAAACCCTTTCCCTGGGCAGAGAAATGGAAACAATCCTTTGGGCCCTGGTGATAGAGAGGCTTCCATGCCTGCTGGCCTCAAGAGCAGTGGTTGGGAAACCACGAGCAGCTCCACAGGAGAAAGAAGATGCATCTACTTCTGTGGGAATGGCAGCCTCCGAACCCCTACTGTGTCCTACAGGCTCGCTGTGGGTCCAACAACTAGATGGTAATGGATTGGATTTTTGTGCCTGCCACCGTAAAGGAACCCAAAGTCAGGCTGAAACAGCAAGTTCAAATGACGGCCCTGCTTTGACATGCTTTTCTTCCGTCGGCAACAACAGCAGTTCGGTGTTCATCTGTCATGCCAGCATCATCACAGCGTGCTTCTGCTTGTTTAGGCCAAGTAGAAGCCAGTGCGTTTGAAAGCACTCGTGCTTCCTGTATAGAGACTGGACGCACCGTCCGCAGAACACAGCGAGGATCTGGCTGGGAAGCTAGCAGCAGGTAGAGGCTGGCATGTGGCTGTGGAGGAATCCAGTCACTCTGAAACTCTTGGGCAAAAATTTCACCCTGGCTTGGGAATTTGCAGCCCACGAGCTCCACCCTCTGCCACCAGGAGGGTCAATCCCCAAAGGTGTGAGGCCAGCTCCTCATGGCCGCTTTTGGAAGGGGTGGTCGCTATGGCAACAAGGCGGGAGCACTTCACTTTTTCCATCTGCCTAACACAGGGGCTCCAGACCTCTTGTCATTCAAACGCGCAGTAGCTTGTTTCCATGCCTGCCATCGCAGCCTCTGCCAACCCCCGAAACCAGGAAGAGCCGACCTGCTCCCTTCAGTTATTCATGAAACCTGTTTTTCTTCACGCAGATCTCCTTTTGAGATCCTCAGTACAAAACTAACCGCTCTGCTGGATAAACTTGGATTCCGATTCAGCTGACATTGGTTGAGCCTCTACTGCGTCATCACGTAGTACACGAGTTGGAGTCAACTCCCGCGCACAGCTCCTGGGCGTGCGAGAGTAGAGCTGGGCTCCGGAGAGACTTGTTAGCGGCCAAGTCTGTCGGGAGTATCTTATCTTTGGACGTGCCTCTGGGTGGACTCGAAGGGCCAACCTTACAGTTAGCCGGCAAAGGGTGTTCACCATTTGCATGAGTAGTACCAAAGCCATTTCCATACATTATTGATATTCACAGAATAGACATGGGTGCCGATTCAACGAACATTTACTGACGTTTGGCATACAGTAAGGAGCCCTTGCAATTGTGGTGGTGAAAGCACTGATCAAGAAGGACATTGATTTGGACCCATCAGCCACTCCACGGGAGAAAGTCATCCCAACCACGGTTTTGTCAGTCGTTCCAGGTGTAATCAAATAGGCAATGACTGATTCGCATTAAGCAAATTCACAAAAGGCTGCGCTATGAACAAGAATATCAGTTTATTCATTCACAAAGAGAAGTATGGCTGTTTGACAAATTGATGTGCTTATATCGGTAGGTCAACAGATTCTCTCCCTCCAGAAAAGTCAAGACAGAAGGCTTAGGTGTAATCAAAATGTTTGATGAAACAGACAAGGGGGGGGTTAGTTGACTGATGATACTGATTCATGCCATTCAGCCTGATGGACTCACTGTAGGAGTCTATGAAGGGGCTTCAAAAAGTTCACAGAAAAATAGAATGAAAGGATAATGGAATTTTCTCGAGAAGTTTTGAAGCCCACTCTTATTTGGCCAGGAGACATGATGATCATGTTCTCTGGGCAATTTCATTGAAGTTGGCCAGTGTTCCAAGACAGGAGATTTGCTGATCTCATTTTCCACGAAGATGCTACTAGCTCTTAGCTTTGAACTATTCTCTTTCTGTTCACTCTTTTTTTCCAGATAGGGACAATACAGCTGGCTGGATTGCTTAGCTATGATCATAGGCCAGCCTTGCCCTCTGCCCTCACACAATGACAAGGTCTTAAAGGAGTCTTACAGATGGGTGCATTGCTTCCATTGTATATGGATTTAAATAATGTAACTCACTAAAAGGAGCTTTCCCCTCAAATTTCCCAGGCACCCTACTTCATGCCTACGTTCTAAAAAACCAGTCTGAGACTACACTGAAAGCAAGCCAGGCCTTGATAGATAAGTGTAAGTGGGTTCAAGTGTAGTCCAGTGGTATGCTAAGCTCCTCCCTTCCTTCCGTGCTTGGGTAGGGAGCGAGAAACAGATTGGGGGCTTGGGAGGTGGAAAAGAGACAAGATTCATGAATTTGGTACAGCTAGAGAAGCAATGCTTCTGATGGGTTTTAACCTGTCACCAATTGCTGTGTTCAGGGCCGGGGCTACGCCTATGGTATCCACCACATTTCTTCCTTCATCAGAGTGGGGCTCCCTTCATCCTTGTGATTGACTAGATAAGAATCCTGGACACAGACCTAGCCATGATTGATAGGAAATGAAAGAAACACCTGGAACATGGATTGCTGGCTCAGGAGGGAAGACTCAGGTGGGATGCCATGGTGGCTGGAGGGCAGGGTAGGGAGCAGCTTAACTTCACAATCTTGACAGCGATCTGGATTTTGCCTCCTTGACTATGTCCCTAGATTAGAAGGTACATTTTCTATTCAACTTCCTTTCATGAAATAGGTACTGTAGGCAACACGCTCCCTGGTAAGGAGAAAAGGCAGCGTTTTGATATCTAACAAGCTGGGGGTGGGGGTGGGTGATGATTAGTGACTAAGGGATCCTGCCCATTTTCAATTCCACCTAAGAAGCCCACCTTGGAAAGAAATGCTGGCTTAAGTCAGCTTTGTTTTTGCTTGAATCCAGTTGACATACCTAGAGACCTTGGTATAGATTCCATATTTGCCTTTCATGGCACATTCTTCCCCCCAGCTAATAATCCCCGTTAAGAAATTGGTCCCTTCCACTTCAGTAAAATGGGGTCCCCCACTATCTCCTTGGCACGAATCTTTCTCTCCCTCACGGTAACCAGCACAGAACATGTTTTTATAGATGGTGGAGCTGGTGGACTGCAGGCACATGGCTCGGTCCACGAGGGGCACTTTGAGGTACTGGAGAATCGTAGCGGTTCTCCCTCTGTTTAACACTTTCCCCCAGCCGCTCACATAGGCAGGTCCGAATTTGAGGAAGAGGTTTGTGTGTTCCTTATTGGCTATGCAGATGGGTGTCACGTAGCTGCTCAGTGTTAAGGGCGCATCCAGTTCCAGAAGGGCGATGTCATGGTTGTACGCATTCTTGGCGGCGTTGTAGCTGTGATGGGGAATCGCTTGAATCACATTTCGCTTTTGCTCGGTGGCGTCCTCTTTCTCAATGTCATGTTCACCTGTGGAAAAGAACAGAGGGGTCGCAGGGAAGAGATGAGCCAGTCAGGGTGCAGTGCAGCACCAATGAAACACACAATGTTCCTCTAGATCTTTGGTGCTTCCTTCCCCCCACTATCATGACCTCAATTCTACCTTACAAATTGCATTAGACCAGAACATGCACACTGCTACAGATAAGAGCCCACAACATAGGGAATCCAGGATGGATTAACCCCTTAGGGCCAACAAGGAGAGTAGTGATACCAGGAGAATTAGGGGAGGGGGGGAAGGGAGAATTGATCACAAGGATCAACCTAGAACCCCCTCCCAGGGGGTCAAATAATGGAAAAGTGGGTGAGGGACAATGGAGGATGATGTAAAATATGGAAAAAATAATCTATAAGTTATCAAAGGTTCGTGAGGTAGAGCGGGCGTGGGAGCGAGGGGGAAGAAATGGGGAGTGGATATCAGGGGCTCAAGTGGGAAGAGAATGCTTTGAAAATGATAATAGCGGTATGTGTGCAAATGTGCTTGATGCATTGGAAGAGTGTATGGATTATGATAAGAGATGTAAAAGCCCCCAATAAAAGTATTTAAAAAAAAGAAAGAAATACCTATTTCAATCTTGCCTTCCTTTTCTTTCTTTTTTCTTTTTTTTTGGTCATTGTGTGCTCATGTGGTCCTTTATTTGTGTAAAATATCATAATTTCATTTTAACACTTTTATTGGTACTTCAGCCACACACCATACAATTCAACAATTCAGTTATATCAGAAGAGTTGTACAATCATTACCACAATCAATTTCAGAAAATTTTTTCTTCCGTGCACTCACTGCTCTTCGTGTAATTTTTTAATTATGGCAAAAATATACACAACAAAATAGTTTCCAATTCAACAACTTCTCCATGGTATAATTCGCTGCCATTGATTAGACTCTGTGTTCTACAACCATTACTGATATCATTTTCCTAATTAGTCTACCGCCATAAACTTAAACTCAATGTCTACTAAGCACAAACTCTTCCTCCTTCACCCATGGTAACCATTAGTCAAATCTCTTTTCTTTAGTAGTTTTCTTGATAAAACATTCACAACTCTTATCACAATCCATCTATCCATTGTATGTCTAGCACATTTGTACATTCGTTGCCTTCATCATTCTCAAAACATTTGCTTTCTACTTAAGCCCTTTGTATCAGCTCCTCATTTTTCCCCTCCCTCCCTGCTTCCCCCTCCCTCACGAACCCTTGATCATTTATAAATTATTATTATTCCATCATGTTTTACACTGTCCAACGTCTCCCTTCACCTAATTTTCTGTTGTCCGTCCCCCAGGGAGGAGGTTATATGTAGATCCTTGTAATTGGTTCCCCCTTTATACTCCACCTTCCCTCCACCCTCCGATATCGCCACTCTCACCACTGGTCCTGAAAGGATCATCTGTCCTGGATTCCCTGTGTTTCTGGTTCCTATCTGGACCAGTGTACATCCTCTGGTCTTGTCCCAGCCCTTTTTAAACAGCAGCTAATCTTCTAAATTCCCACCGGGTGCCTTTGACTACACGGGCTGGGCTTTGAAGGGTCTGAATCCTACACTGTTCCGATTTTGGTAGTGTGTAATGAGGGTCAATACATATTTTTCACACCGAGAAACCTTTCCATTTGTCCATGCTGTTCCAAGTTTTACCTTGGCTACAGGCGATAACGAATCTCCCCTCCTGCCCTCCACCCCAACAAAATAAAACTCACTGCAATTCAGTCAATGCCAACTCATAGCAACCCTATAGAACAGGGTATAAACTGCCCCTGGGAGTTTCTGAGAAGGTAACAGTGTAGAAAGCTACGTCTTTCTCCCAAGCAACGACTGGTGGTTTTGAATGGATGCCCTTTCAGATTGCAGCCCAACTTGCAACGACTATGCCCCGGGGCTCCTAAAGATGAACCTAGTTGTCATGAATTCTCATAGATTTCCCCAATTTCCAGTATCCAGCTCCCTGTTCTGATGGCATACAATCAATTCATTTGCTCATTCTTTCAAGTGTCACCTCAGGGCCTGCTACAGGTTGTGCCTGGCTCCACAGGTACCTGCTTTCGGGCAGGCTCAGCTGGTGTAAAAGAGACACACCAATAAAAATCAGGACCGCACTGGGAAGAGTGCCACCGCACTGACTATGGGGGCTTGGGGGCTGGAGAAAGCTGAGTTTGGAAATTATGGCCCCTGTATTCCGAGGCTTATTTATTCATCAAGGATCCTCATTCGCCCTTAGTAGACTATGAGGTGGTAGATTAGCTCCGTGACGCTGCGGATTCGCATTTTGTTTTCATTGGTGGGTACCTGCGATTACTGTAATGTTATCACCGTGCTTGAGACAGTGGGCTGCAGTTACGACCCATTTCTCATTAATGATGGTGCCACCACATAACGCTATACCGCCCCACTTCAGAAGGACCTGTAGGAACACAAATAAAGGCTGTTAGGAGGAAAGTTGTGTGATCTAGAACAAAAGAAATAACATTGGCCATTTTAAGGAGTGGGCCCCAGGCTGACTTCTAGGTGCTGGCAGAAAGGAGAGTTTTCTGAATGAGTGTGTTTGGAGCCCAATCCCTAAAGCCATGTCTATAACTGTGCTAAGGGCTCCTGCTGGATGAGAGCCAGGGGGAGGTCCATCTGAGGCAAATGGCAGGATCCGGCTTTTGTTAGGGATTTGGGGCCTGGGCTTCCTTTTCCAGGTGAGTCAGGTTCTCTGATGGCATGACGTACACTAGCGCCCCAGCCACAGTACTTGACATAATTGGAGTTCGATGCAAAACAAAACATCGGAATCTGATCGGACACACGTGATTCTTGTAAACAAAATAGTTCGTGTTTCGGCCACCCTGTGTTAGTTGGCGTTGTTAGTACGCGTTGTTTAAACCTTTTGCGGCTGGGTTACAAGTTTTTGTGGCTTTTTGGTATTGTTTTAGATAAAAAAAGAGAGTTTTTCGAAAGAATCATCATGATAAGGAACTGGTTAACCATGCTATCGTTATTGTTGATAATTAAGTTCAACCCTTTTAGAAAAGAGTTAAGGAAACATCCGCAGATCCTCATCCATCTCAAGGTATGGGCCATACTATAGCTGTTAATGTTGTCATTCTTATTTAAAGTCTATTATTTAACTCTGAACTTATTTACTTTGAAATGTTTGTGTCATGTTTTGTATAAAAAGGCAAGGTTCGGGTAAAAACTTGGTGGTCCAGAACGGATTCATCCGTTTTCAGTTATTTCTTATGGGAGAAATTGATTCGGAGCTCGACTGCATCGCATCTCCACGCTCCTTCTAGAACGGATTAGCGTTGAGGTCCGGGTTCTACTGTACTTTATGAGACACACAGACTTGACTTCTCCAGGTGAAAAGTGATTACTGAGCCTTCTGTCCCTCCATGAGGAAATTGCCTTGCTGCTTGTCACTTCAAGAGAGAAGTGAAAAGCAAAAGTGGCCAACCAGCGGCCATAGATTCGATCTTGACTCTGGCGACCCCTTGTGTGGCCGAGCAGAACTGTACTTCAAAGGCTTTTTTCAATGGCTGATGTTTTTGGCCAATGGTCTCTGGATGAACTGGAATGTTTACCCTTTCGGTTTAACAGCTGAGCGTGTTACTCAATGGATCATCCAGGAACTACTTTCTTCTTCTTCGTCTTTTCTTTTCTGGACGGCCTCCTTGAATCCTTTCCACACTGAAGACTATGAAACGAGACCTAAGATCTCCAAAGAGTGAGAAACGCCAGGACTCAGGAACTCTGTCCATGCTTCCCTTCGTCCTCCTTCAGGGTAGGTAAGCTAGCCTGGCCCTAAAAGGTCTACGTGAGCTGGGCTTCTTTCTTGAGTAAAGGGGACAAAGGGATCTAGCTGCTGCGTTGAGCGTGGGCATTATTAGATAAGAGACAAACCCATTTTTCTCTTGGTATATTCATTTGCATAAACACAGTGGACGATGACTATTTTCACCACCTCAATGTCTAGCTCCGCCTGGGAAATTTCAGTTTTCCTGTGGGTAAGGGCCTTCACTTCTTCGGGATGAAAGCGGAGAAGTGTGAACACTAGAGGGCGCACTTAACATGTGGTAAACTCTTGCGAGTGTTGACTTGCTCTTTGTGAACTGATTTTGCCCTGGGCTCGGATCCACTAAGGGAAAAGGGGTGCTCAATTCCTCAGAGTGTGGGTCATATGACATCCTTGCAGGTTCTTTTGAAGGTTCTTTTAATTCTGAATTCAACTTACTGCATACCTATTGTATCCTAGACACACCCTTGCCTCCTACGTGGTGACAATGGGGCTGACTCATTCCCCCCACCCTTCCACTTCCATTTCCAGACTCGTGCTCCTCCCCCCCCCACCCCACTCTACTTGTTGGTTTGAACTTTGAGCAGTCTTAAAACATATATGTGACTCTAGAGGATAAGATAATAAGTACCGCCCAGAATCAACAATCTTCCTAAAATTGTGAGTGTTGTGCCTATAATATTTATCGTCACGAATACATGTTCTTTACCAGGAGCCCAGGTGTTTTAATGGGTTACATGTTGGGTGGCTAACCTTGAGGCCAGCAGTTTGAAACCACCAACTTCTCAGAAACCCACAGGGACCATTTTACTCTCCTTTATAGAGTCGCTGGACTGAGACATGCCCTGAGCAGCGGAGGAGTAGGTAAGCTTCCCTTCCTCCTGGCTTATTGCAGCAACCAGTGGGCAGAGGGGAGACTCCCTGCCAGGACAAACGCCTTAGCTTCAATTGAGGCTGATTTCTCCCTCCATCCACGTTCCCTCCAAATGTGCTGTGGCACATCCACTGTCCCCAAATGCCATGTTTTGTCCCAAGATGCTTTGGGGAGTGTGCACCCAAGCTCATCCCTTCCTGTGCCTGTGCTCAGGACCCCTCTGAGGGAGGGGAGCAGTGGTAGTGAATGGGTGGAGGCGAGGAGGCAGGGTATATGACATGCCAGTAAGTGGCAAGTGGCAGTGGTTGCTGGGCAGACATGGGGAAGGAAAGGCCGGGTAGGGAGGAGGTCCCAGGGCCCAGAGGAATGGGGGGGATGGAGGACCTATCCATGTTCATTCTCAATGGTCCCACTTGACTTGATTCATAAAATGAAAATGCCAGATAAAATGCTTAAGCATCATAAGATGGATGGGCAGGTACCTGGGAGTACATGGGTGTGTAAGTACATGTGTGTCTGTTGGTGTCATGTACATACAGGTCTACATGTATGAAGAGGCTTCATGGAAAAATTACATTGTTTTCGAACCCCCCATTTCTATGAACCTTTCGACACCCCCTAATATATTCACAAGTATAACAAACCCCATGGGATACCCAGTTACAGACTACATAGGCACAACTAAGTACTTTGAAGGATCGGTTTGATGGCTTGGGACTATAGTCTTGGGGGACAACCTGGTTAATTGACACAACTTAGTTCATAAAGACCTCCTAGTTTAGAAAGTAGGGTCTTCGAAGCTTGTGAGCAGCTATGTAAGAAACCATCATCGATCTCTACTCATCTGGAAAAGAAGTGAATGAAGGAATTAAAACACTCAAAAGTGAAACTCGTCCACAGAAGTAAAAGTCTATATGAGTCAGGGCCTCATCTAGTCCTAGACCAAAAGAATTAGATGGTGCCCAGCTTCACTACCTACGGTTCTGGGCAAGGGACACAATAGAAGGTCCTGGATAGAAAGGGAGCAAAATACAGTGCAAAACTAAAATTCCTGGAAAGGGTCAGACTCGCTGGACCAATGGAGACTAGAGGAGATTTTGAGACTTATCACCCTTAAAATACCCTTTCCACTGGGATCTGAAGCCACTCCCAGTGGTCACCTTTCATCCCAAAATCAAAGATTGGCTTATGAAATAAGCAGCAATATTCGTAAGGAATGCGCTTCCTTTAATAGCAACCAGATGAGGCCAAATCATCAACATTGACCCTGAAACAAAGCTGAGTGGTTAATGAGGGACAGGGACGCGACGGGAATGGAAGCAGGACAAACAGAATGGAAATGATGAGCGTGCTGACACACTATGGAAACTGTAGCCAGTGTCATGGGGCAAGTTGACAGAAATTGTTAGATGGGCATATAATTCGCGATATGAACGTTCACGTGAAATATAATCAAATATATAGAACCCTACCCTAATAATGATTTTCAGATGGTAGCCACAGAGCGTAACTCCATGAGGATGACCCTAATCCCAGGTGATTGTCATCATGAAGCAATTTTGGGCAACACTGCCCGTAAAGAGTTAGAGTCTCAGAATCCACAGGGGGCACTTCTGTCCTATCCTATAGGGTCGCAATGAGGCGGCATCAACTGGATGGCGGTGAGTCTGGTTTTACACTAAAGGAGCCCCGATGGCATGTTGGGTACGGGTTGGGGGTATGTGTTGGGCTGGGAACTAGTGGGCCAGAGGTTCACACTACCAGCTGCTCCACAGGGGAGAGATAAGGCTATCTGCATCTGTCACGATGTGCAAAGCCTTGGAACTCCTTTATAGGGTTGCTATGGGTAAGAAGCAACTCAGTGGCAGTGGGTTTGGTTTGTTTCATACTAAGGGCCTCTGGTGGTGCTGTGGATTAAGCACAGCGCCACTAACCAAAAGGTTGGTGGTTTGAACCCACTAGTTGGCTCCAAGGGCAAAAGACCAGGAACTGACATGATGGCAGTCGGTTCGGTTTTGCCCTGATCCTGATGATTACAGCGGAATGCTGGGGCCAGGACATGATGGTGCTCTTCTTTTGGCCACTGTGTTGGGGCATAGGTACGGACATCCCTCAGCTTAGTCAGTGAGTTAGGCCGGCCTGCTCTCCACAGCCCCTGGGCACAGAGGTCAGCCTGATACAGCTTATCTGACTTCTGCCCAAGCTTTTCCACCTGGGGCTTCTGGTACTTTCTGGTGGATGGCTGAGAAATATGGTTGTGTGCTGTTGACTCTGGATAGCATTCTTGGCCAATTACTGCTTAGTATTAGATGTTTTAGCAAACACCTTTGCCTAGCAAAAGCCCTAAAATATATTTGCATTTGAAGATATTACAAATGACTTGCTTTGGGAATGTTTGCTTGACTCCCTCAGGATCACAGCTCTCTAAATATTAGCTGTTTGTGGGGATGAGCTGCCTGCTGGGCCAAGGACAAGTTCCTGCAAGACATCATTTCGGTGAATACTGGGGAACATGGGAAAGCCTGTGTTCTCAGCCAGGCAGTGGAGTCCTGATCTGTCTGAAAGCTTCATGGTTGCCACATCCTAACAAGAGCCTGTGTTCTCTCTTTCTCACAAACACATCCACGTGCACCCACTAAACATACATTGACATGCAAAAATACCCTTTTTAAACTCAAGGGGAGGCACACATTAACTTGGGCGAAGGGGAAGGAAACAACAACAACAACAAGAAGAACAAAACAAAATGCTT